TATTGTTTCAATGGGTAGTTCAGTGAATTAAAAATATTCATAAAAATCTATTTCTGTACAAATTTAAGCAGAAGCAAAAGAGCAGGAGAAAAAAAATGGTTTTTTTTTCACACAAATATTGTTCACAGAAGGAAAATATATCAGCAGTAGCTCTGGTCACTGGGTCCCAAACTCTAGAAATAACTGGAAGTTATATTACTGGGCAGTTGTCTGGATCTATTGGAAATAATGTTGATGATTTCTGATTCACTTCAGTGTCTCTGAACCAGGGTTCTGATGTGAAATTTTGAAAATTGTGTTTCTGGATTTGGATATTACATTTGCCACAAAAAGCAAGGTGATTGGAAAGTGCTTCCCGGTCGGCAAGAGGGTCTAATTTCACACCTTTCTTTCCAGCAAAACCCAGGCAACAAGATGTGAGCAGTTCCAAGAAGAGCCTTCTGAGGACGCTCTTGTTTCTATCACTGCAGTGTGGGTGCACATTTCCACAGCTGAGGATGCAGCTTCTGAAGTGTATATTCACTTCTAAGGTTCCTATCTAAAATGTTGTGGGGATTTTTCCCTCCTTACGCCCTTCACAAAACAAACTCTGAGTTTCCAGGTGAAGCCTGTCATCATTAATCTAATCATACTTTGCACAGCCTTTGATTTTTTTTTGCATCCTCAGCCTTGACCTAGTGATAAATCAGAGTAGCCGCCGCTGTAGGGGAAAGCTCAGTGATGTCAAAAGCTTCCTGGTGAATGTGCAATGGGAAGTCATTCAGCAGTAAGTAAATAACCCTTGCAAGTCACGCTGTTAGAAAAGATTGCTTCAACTCTTCCCTTGAGCAGGATATCTCATATCTTGCTCCATATCACCATGGAGCACAGCAGGATACCACAGGAAAGAATTTCTCACCTTCCAAGTCAGTTACTTCTTATGATAAATGCATTTGCAAGCTGCAGTGTAAAAATTAGTTAAAATTATAGCTGCTTTCACTTTTTGAGTTTGCAAAGTTCCACTATTTCTGGTCTGTTTTAATGTCCTAACAAAATGCAACATTATTTCAGATTTCTGTTTTAGTGGAATCTGAAGTGTCCTATAGGTCTTTGGGGGTTTTGTTTGTTTTTGTTTTTTATATTTATATAATTAACTGTCATTCTTAAGATACTCGTTAGAAGCATGTATGGTGTTTTGTGTTTGGTTTTTTTTGCTGTTCCAAAGGGAAAGGAAAAACACAGCCTCCACCACAAACCCCAGCATGTCATCTGAACAGGGGACATCTGTGTGAAGTTCTTGCTGGTTATTCTGTAGCATCTTTTATCTGTGCATCTGCAGTAGGTGAAAAGGAGATGAGAGAGAGGGAGAGAAGGCAGTTGGTCTTAAATCAGTGGGAGTCAGCTACCACAAAGATGCCAAGTTCATGTGCATAAATCCTGCCCTGGTTCATCAAGACAAATGGGTCAAGTAAATGTCAATCAGGTTGACACAAGTGATGTGGCTTTCCAGGACTGCAAAAAAATTTAAGAAACTAAACAACAGTACAAAAATCCTAAAGTTAATGTAATTACTAAGAGGAGTAGGACCTACAACTGCAAATGCGTTGCCCCAGTATGGCAAAGTATGGCTCTGGTGAAAGAAGAGGCTAAACAGGACAGAGGATCATCTGAGATTAGGGAAATTCTTTCACACCATCTGGAAACAGCAGCCCAAACCAGAGGATGGACTGTAGCATAACAGGTAACTGCCTCACAGCTCTTCTTTCAGTGCTGGTTACTGTTTATCAACAGGACTTTAATTTGGAGGTGTCTGCTGGAACATGTGAAATTTCAAGGGAATAGAGAATATGTAATGGAATGTGACAGTTCTTAAATTGCCCCAGGAAGCGGGCAAGTAACATAAATACCAGTTTGGTCTCAAAAGACACAGAAACTGGGGAACAAGAACCCAAATACAAGAAAAGGAGATTATTTTCGTGAACTGAACTCTGGGAACTGGAGCAGGAAATCGTGTTAGGCGAGACAGTGAATGAGTTAGTGGTGGCAGAGTATTTCATTATGGATGACATCTTAGAAATGCGAGAGAAGTCTCACACTTTAGTCTGGAAAGTTACCTCTGGATCTTGGTGAAACAAATTATCTACAGGCAATCTGAAATGTACGAAAGGCAGCATTAAGTGCTCTGTTACTAGAGGCACTGTTAGGACAACAGTGAAATGTGGTATCTTTAGGTGAAGATGATAGGCAGAGTCTGAAATATGTTTAGTAATTAAGCATTTCAAGGGTCTTAACTGCCAAAACACCCACAGAATGAATCTGAAGGAGAGATGGATTCCTGTCCACTTACTGAGGGCTAGCCTATTAAAAGAAAAAGAAAACCACATTTTGCAAACAGAAAGAGTATGTGACTGCATGCTCCAATGCCAAACATGCATGCACACAGCTGCTTACAATGAAGTCACATTGCAATGATGTGGGGTTTTTTAAGCTTTTGGTGAATATTGTTTAGTCTGCACTGCGGATAATTTGCAGGAGAGGTTAGGGAGGACAGGAGTAACTGAAAGAGATGGCAGCAATCAAGTACCTGGCATGGCTTGTATCCACAAATGGTGGGTATGTAATTACAACAAAAGGCTAGAGTGCTCTTTTGAGCTGAGCTGTTTTCAGGGACTGGCAAGTCGCAAAGAAAAAAATTATGTCCTAATGGGTTCTGGTTTTAGTAAATTAAAAGGAATATCAAAGCCATTCTTCTGTCTATCAGCAACTTAATGCAGCAGAAGTAATCCTCAGGCCCTGATTTTTTTATTTGCTCAGATAAAAGGGAAAAAAGGTGATGTGATGCAAGTGTTTCTGCATCCAGTTTTCTGTTAGATATTTCAAAAACTATGGGGCAGAGGGGGATTTTTCCTACTGTGGTCTTTTTTTTTTTTGCAATGTTTAACATATTTGCATGAGATTTTATACCTTAGATGTTTAATTTAGATTGAAGATATATGTTCTAAACACCCATGAAACATTCTGTAAAATGTCTCTCCACTGTACAAATTGAAAAAAAATTATATCTTGCTGACTAAGAGCGACTTTTAGAATGAAATTATAGGTCAGTATAGTAGAGGAAAATATTGTGCTAGAAGGCCTGAAATACTCATCATAGTTTATTGCTTTTGATAAACTGGCATCTGTGGACTTTTTGACCCTGAAAATTTGACCCCCTGGTTAAAGGGGGTTTTTTGAGATTTCCCACCCTCTCTTTACTTGTGATGTCTATATTGAGCCACATCTTCAGGTGATGTGATTTCAACTTTGCTTATTTCCATTGCCAAGGACTCACTGTGCTTTATTTTCCTTTGCTGAGTGAGTGTGATGTTCATTGTGTGATGTACAGGTATAGCTCATTGTTTTACTTCTGCATGTCAGCAAAATGAATCCTTCCCTCCCTCCATCTATCTCTGGGAGTTGTTTCTGTTGCAATGGATGTGTTCCTGATGAACTGATACCCTGGTTAATTGTGAGTGCAGCTGAAACATATGTGAGCCCAGCTCTAATCTGTAGTGGCATCTCTTCCCAGCTGTCCCTGGTTGGTGCTCCTTAGTGACTGTGTGCCCTGGCAGCCAAAAGGGCCACCCATGTCCTGGGATGGATCCAGCACAGCATCTCTGGCCAGTCAAGGGAGATTTGCTCTGCTCTGTGCTGCTGCAACCTCACCTTGAGTCCTGTGTGCAGTTTTGGGTGCCACAATATAAAAAAAGAATCTAAAACTATTAGAAGTCATCCAAAGGAGGGTCATGAATATGGTGAAGGGCCTTGAGAGGAAACCATAGAAGGAGCAGCTGAGGTTGCTTGGTCAGTTGAGCCTGGAGGAGACCTCATAGCACTCCACACCTGCCAGGGGGGGGGAGAAGCAGAGTGGCAGGCACTGATTTCTGTCTGGTGACCAGTGACAGAACCCAAGGGAATGGCCTGAAGCTGTGTCATGGAGATTTGGCCAGGATATTAGGAAAAGGTTTTTCCCCCTTAAGATGGTTATTCAGTGGAACAGGCTTCCTAGGGAAGTGATCACAGCACCAAACCTAACAGAGCTGAACAAGTGTTTGGACAAGGTTCCCGAGCACACGGTGTGTGACTCTTGGGGCTGCCCTGTGCAGGGCTCCCCTCACAGCTCGTGTATGGTTCTTTTACTGGTATGGTTCTTTTTGTGGTTCTTTTACTGCTGCACTCACCCCTGCTCCTGAGGAGAGCAGAGTGCAGGACAAACCCTGCAGTGAAGGATCCTTGTCCTAGAGTTGGTCTGGACCAACTCTAATGCTGCGTGGATGTCCTGCCACACAGCTCTACCCTCACTGCCGTGCCCGGTACGGTTCCAGCTCTCAAACCTCCGCGCACCGCCTAGGGAAGAGCCCAGCCACCACTCAGCCTGCCCTGAGGGCTGAGGGACGGGACTGCCGGCTTCCCGACCTCGCTGTGCCGCGGGAGAGCGCAGCCAGGGAGCAGCGGCAGCAGGGGCACCCCGCTCCGGGAGCACACAGCGGCAGCCCTCGGCCATCCCGGGGCACTCCCAGCGCCGTCCCGGGTCGCGGCGGGCGGGAGGCGCCGGGCGGAGCCGCAGCCGTTCCGCCCCTCACGGCCCCGCCCCGCTCCCACCGCCCCGGCGGAGGGGGCGGGCCGGGCGCGCCCCCGCGCAGACGCGGACGCGGCCGGGAGCGCGCAGGTGGCGGGCGGGCCGGCTGTGCGCGCCGCCGCGCGCCGGGTTCCGCCGGGGGCAGCGCGTCGCCGGCGGGCGGGGAGCGAGCGGGTGCCGGGTCCGGGCTGCCACCGCCACCGCCGCCTTCTCACACGTGAAGGGCCGTAGGCGTCCCGCCGAAGCGCCCCGCTGTCCCGCAGTGCGGGGGCTGCCCCTCCGCCTGCCCTCCGGGCGCTCAGCCGCACCGCTCGCCCTCCCCCGCCGCTCTTGGGAGGCGCCGCGGCGCTGCCCCCGTGAGCGCTCCCCACGGGGTGGGCGTGGGGAAGGGTGGGTGCTGCGGCGGCCTCCCGTCCGCGGGCGTCCCAGCCCCGCCGGCGGTGGATGCGCCCGGGAGGAGCCGCCGAGCCCGTCCAGCCCTTCCAGCCCCCCGCGGGGGGGACGCGGGGACCGCCGCGATGACTTGACGCCGGGCCGGGCCGTGCCGTGCCATGGAGGGGATGACACGCTTCGCGGTGGCCGCGGCGCGGTGGCGGCCGGCGCTGCCCGCCCTGCTGCCGCTGCTGCTCGCCGTGCCGGCGCTGCGGGGCTCTCCCGCCGCAGGTAAGGGAACAAAGAGGGCCCGGGGGCAGGTGTGCGGGGCCCGGGGCCGTGCCGGCAGCGGGGCGGTGCGGGGGGCGGCAGCGCCGGTAACAATGCGGCGGTGCCGGCGGGCGGGGGCCGGCGCGGCGCGGCCGGGGAGCCCCGCCAGAAAAGGCGCGCATTGTTCGCAGGCAGACCGCGAACGCTCCGGTGCGGGGCCGCGGCAGCCCGAGGCTCGGGGCTGGCACCCGACCCGCGAAGGCGAAGGAGAGAAGCGGTGCGGGGACAAAGGGGACAGCCGGCATTTGGAGCTCGGAGGGTGTCCTGTGCCGGGCAGCGGGCACCGCGCCGTGTGGCCTCAGCGCCCGGAGGTGCCCCGTGTCGGGCTGCGGTGGCACCTGCGGGGTACATGCAGGGCAGCCTGGCTCTCCTCCAGCTTTCGAGTAAGGAGGCATCGGGAGCCTCGCGAAACGCCCAATACGACTTTCCAAGCACTGACTTGTGCGTGGAGAGAACGGTTCGGGCTCCAGAGGGTGGTGTGTTCAGTAGGTGTTTCGGAAAAATCATGAATCAGTGACCCCTTTTTTTTCCGCTCGTCTTTTCTCTTGTGGCTCCAGGTATCAAAATTAGTCTGTAGTTAAGCAGACAGTTTAATCACAAAGATGTCTCATTTGGTTCTGGTCCCATAGCACTTCTTGGTTCATCTTTAATACTTAAAAAAATTACTAATAACTGTTATTTCATGGAAAGATACAGTTTTGCTGTGATTAGGTTTTCATTTTAGTAGATAACAGGTATAAAGTAATACATTTTACTCAACATCGGAAAGTTGTTGTTGATAAGTGGCAATAAGTGATAAGAGCCTGCAGTAACCTGTGTCATGAAGCAGACCAATTAGTGTTGACTCTTTTGTTCAAACACAGGAATTGTGGTGATTATTGCTGGGTGCTTAAGAACCCTTGGTGTTATAAAACGTGCTTATGTCTTTATAATAATCCTTTATTCCACTTCAGAAAGTAGTTCATGTTTTGGAGGTGACTAGTTAGCTTTTCAGAGAAGTTACACTCTCCTCCAGCTCCCGTCATAGCCTACGAGAGATGTTCCAGGCTACGTGAAAATTGATATTTCATTGTAAACTTCAGTGATTTTTCTTAAATAAAACAGATTTTGCATACAAATAGAAGGCAAAGCACTAGGTTTGTAAGTTGGAAATTTACTTGTGGTTTTTTGCCCCTGAGAATGGCTGGGTTTCTTCTGTATTTTCATAGTAAGTCATTGAAGGCTCTTGTTTGTTTCTCTGGTACATAGTAGCTTTTAATTAAACGTGGCTGTGAATTTCTGTAAACGTATGTGTGATTCTTGTGCATTCTTGTATAACTTAAAAACAGCAGTAGGAAAGTTATGTAACTCAGCCAGTGTTGGAGCTGCTGGAAGAGCGTACTTAGAGACAACAGATCTTGCCCAAAGTTCTGCTTTCCTGCTCAGTCTAGGGCAGGAGCCTTTAAGCCGTTTTGATTTGAGAGTCCTCTATGTTTTCAATTCCCGCTGGGTATGTGAATCATGTGCAATGAACTTGAGGATGCTAAGAGTGAACTTGCTCTTCAGAGGCTGCTTTTTTTATTGACATCTCAGAAATGGTCCATTGGTTGCAGAGATTTAAAGTCTGCAAGTTGAAGAGAGCAAGGATATTTTGTTCCTTTTTGTTAAGGTGAAATGCTTTATTTGAAAGCATGGCAGAAATTTGATTTCTCTTTCTGGGGTCCGTGAGGTTTAGAAAACACCGTCTTTATCAGAATCTTGTCTTAGTGTTGAATGTTTTGATGGTGTAATGGATGTTGTGAAACAGAAGAGCTGTATACTGATCAAATGCCTTAGGTTTGGGCAGCTTTCACTTAACTGATCAACAGATTTACAACTCTTGTGAATCTCTCTAGGGTGCAGTTCATTTGCCTTTCAGTGCCATATGGTCTTGACCAGTCTAGGGACAGCAAGAGCAAACTCCTACAGCTCTGAGTTACACAGAAGGAGCATACGGTAAGAGTGGAATGGCCACTTACTGCAGTTGAAATAGCAAGGACAATACTTAATAAAATTTAGTAGTTAAACAACTTGGGTTTTGGAATGCTTGATCCAGCTCCCACAGAAGTCACATGTTGCTGAATCAGGGCTTCAGCCTCTCCAGTTAAGCAGATGCTGAACCCTTAGTGTGTGGTTGGACACCAGTGTGCTGAAGGTGGGCTTGCCTTTGAGCACCTCAGTGATGCAGGGCCTTGGCCAGGCTGTTTGAATTTCTTGCTGCTCAGCACAGGCTGTGTTTTTGCTTTTGTTCCATTGCACAATCTGCACAACTCCCGCACTGACAATCAGGAGGATTTATCTTGTCTCGCTGCGCTGTTTTCATGGCAGGGAGGAGAGCTCTGTGTTGTGGACTCTGAAAAGATTGCAGTGAGTCTCCTCAGAGACTCAGGGACCGAGGGCAAGTTGTGGAGGTCAAGCAGGGAATCAGATGTAGCTGCCTTATGGGAGAGTTGCAGGATATTGTTTATTCAACTTAATTGCATTAGTCTGTTGCAAACACTTGAATTGGCATCACATCTCTTGTGGCCAGTTGAGCTTGTCAAGCTTGCTTCCAGTTCATTTTCACAGAAGACCCATATGGTTGGAGGATTCTCTTTATGACTGCTTTCTATGCTGTGCTAGCTTTATTTATGTCAGCCTCGTGTCTACAAGCTACACTTGTAGTCCTGCCAGAGGAAATGTGTTTTTTGTTTGCATGTTCTTTCAAGAAGTAAGAATGCTAAACAAGCTAGTGGACAGTGCAGCTTGTTGTTCAGTGATGTCTGTTTTGTGAGTGCTTTTTGTGAAGCAAAGTCTTTGACTTCTCAGGCAGGGCTGGGACTTGAAATACAGCATGGCTTTAGCAAAGCAGGCTTTGACCTACCTTGGGTGATAGATTTCAGGAACTGGGCACATTGAAGACCAGTGACTCCTTGCTGCAGCACAAATCTTTGTCTTGGGAAGCTGGTGATTGTGGTAAATGGCAGGTTCTGACATCCCAATTCTTGCTTGTCAGTTCAGAATGTGTGTGCGTGTGTGGGAGTTGCTTGGGAGAGAAGTGAAGCAGAATAGACTTCTTAATAACACAGTCTCACTTCAGCTGTGGGAGACATGGCTTTCCTTCATTTGAAAGTAAATCTCATTGTGGCTGATGTCCTAAACCAGCAGAGAGTCTCCAGCTCTGCCCATTGTGGCAGGCAGAACAAATAACACTGGTTGTGTAAGAGTTATTGTGGATGCTGTCCTTAAGTACCAGTGTGTCTCCAGCCTGGCCTGTTGTGGCATACAGCATGATGAATGCTAATTGCATAAGAGTTATTAAATACAGTGTGTCCTGGGAACCTGGGTATGAGGAAAAAAAAAGCTGCAAGGAAATGGTTATCCTTTAAATTTTGTCTTAGTTTAGTAAAACAGTAGCATTACATGAACTTAATTATGCAGTCAATTTCTATTTTGGCTCATGCAGAAGAATCCCATTCTCATGGAGTCCTTGTAAGTATGGACAGTTTTTCACTCTGGAGTTACCTGATATGATGCCTTTCTAGCTCCTGAAAAGTCACATATTTCTATGCTTTTTTGCAGTGATTGCCAAACACCCATGAGCTCAATAACAAATTTGATTGATACTCCCTATATGTACTGTGTTTTCAGCTGTTGATGTTACTGGGGACAGCTGGTTTGGAAGACTAAGGAAAAACCTTTTATAAGAGCAATTCATTAGTGGTGTCTTTTTTTTTTTGGTAACACATGAGATTAGAGGGGAAAGAAAAGATAAAATTGACTATCTGTACTCACATCACTCATTTGTCAGTGTAATTAATGGCATGTAAAATGCCCAAATAAATATGGGAAATGGGCCTAATTGTTCTAGATCTTACTTAAGCTGTGAGATGTGTGTAAGAAATATTTCTGTTTTGCAGTGGAGTTGAGAACAAACTTAAATATTTCGATTGAAATTTTGTAAAGTGTGCATTTAGCTATGGGCTGATGCTTTTTCTTCTTTGCAAAATGTCAGTTTGGAAGAGTTCAGCAACTTCTGATGTTGAGGCAAGAGGAAAACAATGGCTTCTGCTTTGAGTTCTGCCAGCTTCTTTTCTGAACAGCTTCAATACCCTTATGCTTTGGAGCAGTGCAGTTAAACTTTGCTGGATTGTGTCTGCTGTGAGAGGATGTTTTCTCCAGTCTTGCTTTGAAAGGGACTTTTCTGAAAGCTTGTAATCACTGAATCTAGGTAGACATGGCTACATTAGAGAAGATGATTTTTTTTTTTTTTTTTGTTGGCTGAAGCTTGAATATGGACTATTCTTGTGGGACCTCACCTACCTGTCAGTACTGACCTGGAATATATGTGTTGCCTGTGCAGATGTACTCAGCACTCTTCCCATAGTCCAAAATGTTAGGTGAAAGATTGGACTTTGCTGTGAATATCTGTCTAAGCTGCTCCAGAAGTGGGACTGGACTGAGCTTCAGGACTGAGAACTGAGACCTTACCTCCCTTGTTTTTAAGGCCATGTCTCTGTTATGAAATGCTCTGCTTTCTTTAGGGTGTCTTTGGCTTCTGCCTCCTGGTGCTCTGTTGTATGGTGGTCTTTGATTGCACCAGGCCCAAGGGGGCAAACAGAAATAAGTCCTTAGAAGGAGCCAACATGGGAGTTAGGTTTAATTTGGAGTAGGGTCTGAGGATCTCTCAGTCACTATTCAGCTTGTTGATGAGATATGTCCAGAAACCTGCAAGTTGTAGGAGGGGAAGAGACACAAATTGCTAGAAGGTTTGTCAGATGAAAGAAACTGGAACTGGCAGGGCACAAAGAGTGGGACGCAGGACAGTAGGTCAGGAGTGTAAAATAGGTCTGTAGATGAGGGAAACTGCAATGCAGAAATTAATCCTAGGTGAAGCAAGCAATGCAGTTTGATAGTAGGATAAGCACACTGGGAAACACAGATGGACTCAGTTTAAAAAAGGA